TGATCCTCCGTTGCGTCGCATCGTTTCGGCTTGTGGCACTTAACATTTTATTGTTAATAAAATATATTACATGGGGCAATACAAAAGGCCAAAACCAGGTTGAGTGTGTGCCGGACCCCAAATGCGTTAACGAAATCATCTGCCAGGAGGCGAACGGGGGGTAGAAGGAGAGGCCAGGCCGCTCCTCCAGATGCTTGCTTCTCAGAGGGAATGTCGCGTGAGTTCGTGTCGTACATTTAACGCGTGACTTCTTTTGAAAATTGTTCATAAATTTTGCGTTTAACAGTAGCAGAAAGGCAACGGCACAGCCGCAAAACTCCAGGCCCATACAAGACCGTTGAAGGCTTCGGGCAAGGGAATTGGCTGAATTAAATGATTGGGAAGCAGGGGAAAATTGCGTCTACAGATACCCTGCAATATTATAGGGAGATTATGGTAAGGAAAAGCATATTTCGGGGGTTTGAAACATGTACCCAAATGCATAGAAGAAACCTCTGAAGAGGGACGACCTTTTCAAGTCTAAAAGAAAATGTTTAGACCGTGGTTCTTCATCAGAAACTAGACTCCTTTCCTCCTTCTCAAACCTCAAAATTCTTGGAAAAAGACGTATTTTTAGGGAACCAAAATTCTAATTTAAAATTAAATTGAAGCTTTTATTTATTCCGGCTATAAAAACTATAATAAAACACAGAATTTCAGAAAATATTCCCTAAATATATGGTCCTATTAAGGCCTCAAATTTAGCCTTTTTGAATTTTTTTGTGTGAAGATTTGACATATCCCCAAAGCATTCATGGATGTTTCCTGTAAGCAATTATAAAAAAGGATCACTCTTAGAGTAAATTAAAAAATAATGCTTGGTTTCTTCTCTACACTTCTTTAAATACCAAAAAAAAAATCATAGAAAATCTATAAAATATAAAATTAAATAGATCATCCTTGGAACCTGCTTTTCACTTAAAAAAATCATGAAAAATCCTTAAAAAACTGCATAAAAATCCTCCTTCTTCTAAGAGGCCGCAGGGCATTCCCATTTCTCCTATGGCCTGCAGCACAGCCTCCCAGGTATTTAATTTAAAGCAACTCAACGGAAAATGATTTCACAAATCCGACAGATGCAGGCCCATGGAGCCGCAGAGAGGCAGAGACAGAGACAGAGAGAGCGTTGCAAATGAATTACAATTTTGCTCATCTGCCTTTCGCTCATTATAATGCATACTCGTATATATATTTGAATGAATGAATGAACGTATATTTCTAATTAATAACACACTAAAATGTAATCAACAATGTTAATTAGGCACATCCGCTGCTGCGACGTCGTGTGTTGTCACCTCCACTCATTCCGTTCGACTTTTAGTTTCATTCATAAAAATCGGAGACAGATACTCAGCGATACTCAGCAGTCGCCTGCCCACGCGGCACCAAAATCTTGGCTTGAATTTGCATTTGTTCGAAGTAGTAAAAAAAAATCAAGCACACAAAATCGTTAAAGAAAAAACCCTGTCAAAATGTATGGCCAAAAGAATTGCCAAACCGGTTAATGGTTTGTTGTTTCGGTTATGAAACTGTTGTCTGTTGCTTGTCGTTTCGTTGCGTTTGTTCGCCGTGTTCGATGTTTTTTTTATTTTTTTATGAATGAATGAATGAAGCGTAAAATTTGCATTTTCTACACAAGATTACTCATACGACCCACTGAACTTAGAGAAAGATGAGGAGTACGAAGCCCCAGCGATTGTTTGGCTTAGTTCCGCTGAAAAGATAGAGAAAAAAATGAATCAACAATCCCAGTGGCAGGTGTGCCAAAAACTGAATCATATGCCTGATTTAAATAAGCAATTTGAATTATTATTAATTTATTATTTCCGGTGCAGCAGAGAGCGCCAGAGATGGGTGGCTTTGAATACATTACCGAGATGATTGCCAAACAAATGTTTGAGCATCTTTCCAGTCAAACAAATAATAAATACCCAACACATATTCTCTACATGTTCATTCACTAAAATAAATATTTATTTTGAGTATTAAGGCACTTGTCGGTCGTCAATTATGTCTCTCTCTGTTGGCCAGCACTCAGCCTTTCCAAGCAAAAATATATAAAGACGAGGTCAAATCGGAGCTGTGCAATCGAGCAACTGAAAGACTGACTGGCTGACTGACGGCCCCACGATCTGGCCAACCGATCAGGCCATAGACAGGCAATTTGTAGACTTTTAAAATAGTTTCAAATACTCCGCCAGACAACCTGTGCTTTGTCCAGCGATCGGCCAGCAGGCCAACGATCGACAACTACAACAAAAAGCGCATGCAAATTAATAGCCAACTTTGGCCAAAAATTAATTGATCACTCGGGACAGGCCAACAGCAGCGGCCGAAGGAGATTGCAGACCCCAGACCCCAGATGTCTGACAGACGATAGACAGGGCGACAGACCAGGCCGATCGATCTCTATAAAGCAATTGCCTGAACGAAGTACACTTGAAGGAAAATGTTTACGGAAATTTTTAAGGTGTTGAAAGGAGAAAAACAGACAATTTCTCGCCTTAAGAAAACAAAGGGGTTTTTATTTGTTTACGAATTTTGAATTAAATTTATTTAAAAAAAGCATATTTGTATTTCCATGAAAAGATAAAAAACCTAAACTTTTAATATTTACATTTAAAAATAAATATTTACAGTTAAAAAAAAATATTTACATTTAAAACTGTATACCAATAAATTTGATCCATGAATGGAAATTGTATGAAAAAAATGTTTTCAATATAATTCCGATAAAAATAAATTAATTAATTTTTACATTACACAAAAAAAAAATTGAAGTGCGTTAAACAAAAAGATATTTACAATTAAAAAAAATTTACATTTAAAAACATATATAAAAAAATTTTAACTTCTAATATATACATTAAAAAATATTTACTTTTATAATTAAAAAATTATTTACATTTAATAAAAATATGTATATTCAAAAAAGCTTAAACTTGTATTATTCCCATTAAAAAAAATCACATTTAAAAAAATATATATTTAATAATGTATACCAAAAAATTTTGATAAAATATTTTTTTATAAATTAATTAAAATTAAATTAAAATTTTTAAATATTTTTAAGTGTCTTATATTTAGAAAAAAAAATATTTAAAAAGTCTCTTTAACCCATTTATGTTTAAACCAAAGCTAAATTTACCTAAAATTCTATTTACAAATTAAAAATGTAATTGAAATATGCTTGTCTATGCCATTTTTCTGCTAGTGCATAGTTTTGCTGCCAAATTGCGAGGCATGCCTGCAGTGGCCCGCATATTTGTACAGATCCAACGATCATACGTCCCAAGAGTAAACGTAGACTTCCTAGACGGTAGCTGGCTCGATTAAGAGGCTGGTGAAATGCGTTGTTTTGTTGTTGTTGTTTTTACTATGAACAAAATTCAATTAACATATTCACGCAATAATTGCAGGGGTCTCTCTCGCTGGCCCGAAGAAACCCACGTTGTGGTCAGTCCCCGGCCCACGCTTTTGATCCACGTGTCAAACTTCCGATCATTAGGCGGGGCGACACGCCCACACACTCTCTAACGCATACGGGGCCCTAATTAATAAACAGACAAAACAATTTTTTCGAGAGAGGCCCCGACACAGACAATGCCGAACATTAGAAATTGATAAATTATCGAAAAATGCAGTTTAGCGTGTGCCCAAGACACAAAAGATATTGAGATTAATCATTGGAACAGCCAGCCAGCCAGCCATCATCATCATCATCTGCATCTCCATTTGATGTTTTTTTGTGCGTTGGCGATCTACGATGGGTCGTCTGTCGTCTAATGCCTCATTATTAATGGATCTCCACATGGAAAGCGATGAAAATTGTGTCGTGTAATCCAGTGGGTCATTGGAAAATAGATGTCCAAGGGAGATGGAAGCTGCAAAGGGTACAGTTTTTTTTATAATAATTCGATATGGTAAGAGTTTAAATGGGAATGATCTGGAAAAGGTAAGATTTTTATAATAATATGGTGAGTGTTTACATAGGAATGATCTTGATTTAAAGCTTCTAAAAAGAAACAACAGGATATGTACAGAAAATTATAGAAAAAGAGAGGTTTCTGAATGTATTTTAGATCAAATATAGCTATATATATTCTTTAAAAACACTTTTAAGGACTTGGAATACGACGATCAATAAGTGAAAGAAAGTTCAGCGAAACCATCGCCTTAATACTCACTGTTTTTGATCGAAACTCCATTATAATTTCGGAGAGAAAAAGACGAATGGTAGATCCTACTAATATTCCCCCAAATTGTATCCCAAAAAACCCAAAATAATCAACTAATATATAATCTGACAAATATCTTCTGTTCAATTTCCGCAGCCATTTGCTACGACTAATCATAGCAATTACCCTTTGAACTTTAGCTTTGATCATTTAGGGGAAACCTGTACATTAATGTGCCCCAATAGTCATACCTCATATCCACAGACACACACACAATGTTGCAATCGCTTAACTCGGCCAACACTTGCCCTCCGGCCGACTCATTGCAAATAGGTGTACTCTCGCAGCACCTCCACTAAAAAAAACCTGGCCACAAATCTGCCTGCAATTACAATACTTTATAAACTTATATATTTCTCTGGCCATAAGCCTGGGCTTGTATTATCGTCTAATTGCATCGCCAGGCAGCAGACTCCGAGCCGACTCCGAACCGACGACGCTCTTGGCATTTAGCGCGTCAACAAACGAGCCGCCGCCACCGCTGCGACCCCCAGACCCCCAGACCGACCCCATCCACACCTCGCCAGGCAGTGGGGGAGGGTTGGGAAAAAAGAGTGGTCCGCAGGCCGTTCCATTCATCATTTTTCCGTTTAGTGACGCGCGTGCCTCGTGCGGTTCAAATCGAGTGTTTTTTTCACAGATTTTCCCAAATTGAGACGTCATGATCTCTCGACGTCTGTTGTATGGTGGGTGCATAGATACAGATACAGATACAGATACAGATACAGATACAGATACGTACAACATTTATTGTTTCATAAGGCACTTTTTTGGGAGGGGGAGGGGGCTTGCATGCAGCTCTTTAAATTTACCATTTTGCGTGTATAAAACTGCAGAATACTACAAAGATCAGTACGAATAGAAGTACAACAGAAAATACAACCGATACTTAAAGATACACTTAAAATTCTACAGCGAAACCGAGGGGCACTGCTGCATGACCCTCTGCTCTATCTCTATATATATATAATATATAATGGTTATGGGTTTTAAAGTAATTCTAATAATAAATTCGTGTTTGATTTTTGGTTTACGCCTTTGGTGCAATTTTGTTTTCTTTTTGATATTTACAATAGATCGTTGCAAGGATCGTTTCAAAATTGAAAGTCTCAATGATCGTTCAATGATCATTTGGTGTTCGCGTCACATAATGATATCGCAACATTTGCTCAGCATCTGATTCCGCGTCCTCCTCATCGCTGGTGGAGGGCGGTGTATCCAGATTGGCTATGTCCACATCCAGATAGTCCTCCTTGGCCTGCAACAGCTTGTCCATGTACTCGACAATCTCCGTGAAGGGCGGCCGATCGTCGGCATTGAAGTGCCAGCACTGTCGCATCAGAATGTAAATGTTCATCGAGCATTTGGCGGGCTTCTCCATGCGCTGGCCGGACATCAGATAGCTGTAGAGCTCTTCGGCGGACATTATGGTGGGATAGGGCTGTGCCCCAAAGGTCATGATCTCCCACAACAGTATGCCGTACGACCAGACATCGCTCTTCGAATCGTAGAACTTCTCCTGCAGCGATTCGGGTGCCATCCACTTGATCGGCAGCCGTCCGTTGGTGTTCTTCCGATAGTATTCCGTGCTCTGGATATCCCTGGCCAGACCAAAGTCCGCAATCTTCAGGACATAATCATCGCTGACGAGTACGTTGCGTGCGGCCAGATCGCGATGGATGCAGCGACGCGAGGCCAGGTAGTCCATGCCACGGGCGATTTGATGGGCAAACTTGATCAGATCCTTTTCGGTGATGACATGCGCCGGAGGCGATGGCGGCGGCTGTGAGCTGTCCACCTGCTCTCGGCCAAAGGGGCGATTCTTGTAGAGGAAGTCCTTGAGATTGCCATGCGGCGCATATTCCACGATGACATAGAGGGGTCCGCTCTGGCTGCAGCATCCGAGGAGATTGATGATGTTGATGTGACGGCCTATGATCTTCATAACCTCCATTTCCCTCACCAGACTGGCAATATCATCGTCGGTGTGTCCCTCCTTGACCATTTTGACGGCCACAATGGCACTGTTGACCTCGGCCATGACCACGCGCCCAAAGGCGCCCTCACCGAGAGTGGCGCCCAGCACCAGTTGTCCTCGGGGCAGCTCCCAGTTGGAGTCCAGCGGGAATTCGTATTCGTTGAAGGGCGCCGGTTCGTTGCCGCTTTGGAGGACTGTGGTACGCTGCTTCTGGATCTTTACCACGGGCATGATCATGGTGTCCATGGAGCCGCTGGAGTCGCCGCCGCCCTCGGGCTTGAAGATGATCACCTTCTTGGTCCACTGATGCACCGTCTCGATGCGCTGCTTGAGCAGCTTCTCGTGCTTCATCTTGCGCACGGCGTAGTAGCCGAACAGGATGCACATGAGGATCAGGACACCGATCACGATAATGACAATGGCCGTCATGCCGGTGCTCCGGCCCATGCCACTGGCCATGCCGGCCTCCAGCAGATGCAGACTCCTTACCACACGCAGGTAGGCGGTGCTGTTCGACTGGCCCAGACTGTTGCTCTCGATGCACGTGTACCAGCCCTCCTGCTCCATGGTGACGTTCACGAAGTCCAACCGGTCCAGATCGTGGGCATAGATGGTGCGGTTATTCGAACAGTTGGTCACCCCCTGGCAGGGCACAAAGATCCAGGCCTTTTTGCTGGTCAAATCCGACAGATACTTGCAGTTCATGTGCCCGCTTCCGTTGATCAGGAGCGTCAGATTAGCCGGCCCTGTGATCAGTATGGGCTTGTGATTCACTCGATCGCTGACTATCAGTTTGGTGGCATGACTGATGCAGCCCAGATCGTTGCACACCTGGCAGGTGTAGATCCCCGAATCATTCGGCACCACGTCCTCCATGGTGAGGGACCAGCGTGCCTTCTTGAGATTGCCATAGCTCCTGGACCACTCGCTCGTATCGTTGCGGAACCAGGTGAGCTTCAGTTCGGGGCTGCCCAGGGCCGGACAATTGAGTGTGAAGACCGCACCCGATGGTTTGGTCTGCAGTGACACCATCTTGTTGAGGTTCTTCCAGTAGGGTCGTCTCTGGGCCGGCTTGGGGCTCTCTGCCACCGTGGACTTTTCATCCTCTTCGCCATTGGTTTCCTCGGTTGGTGCTTCCGGTGGGTTGTTGGGCGGTGGACTCCTCTGCCGGTTGCCACCTGCCACACTATCGTAGTCCTTGAGCAGCTCTTGGGAGCTGGCAGGCGATCGTCGAGCAAAGATTTGTGGCGGTGTCGTTAGAACTAGGAAAAGCAGCACGGCCCAGACAAGTCTTTCCCTCATCATGATGTGCGAGCGACTGTTTCTGCTTCTGCTTCTGCTGTTGATGTTTCCACTCCAGCCACTGTCTATATCCATTTTTAGCATATTTATTTTTGTAACTTTTGTAGCGGCCTGCACCCTCCTAAGTGCCACTCGCTCTGGAGCGGCAGCACCAGCCAAGGGGTAGGCGACAGCAGACAACTGCAACTCCGATGCCGACGCCGACGCCGACTCCAACTCCGACTCCGATTCTGTTTGTCGCATGTGTTTTTTATTCACCGGAAATCCACTTTAGCTTGGGGTTCTCCCTCATCTGATCTGATCTCCAGTCTACAAACCCCCCCGGGCTCTCCTGCGCTCTCTCTCCGGAAGAAGATCAGTGATCTTCTAGTATTCTAATTTATTATGGATATAACAACAGTTGCCTTTTCTTCTGGTGGGCCCCACAACATGTGTTTTTGGCGCCTTCTTTGAAGTTATCCTCGCTCTCTCTCTGTGATGATCACCTTTTGTCGGTGCGTAACGGAAATACTACTCTTCGAAATCTATACGATATATCGTATTTATATGCCCTTTAATTATTGTTTTGCCTTGGAGTGTGATTTACTCAGCGAGTTGATGGATTTATGGCAGCCATCTTGTCACCAAAAGAGAGCTCCCCCTCAAAATCGTGGGAGTGCAAGCACACACAGATACAAGATACAGATACACCAGTTCATAGATCATTCGGCAGCTGCCGTGGGAGATGCTCCGCTGTTTGATGTGACTGCTGCAACACCTGGAAGAATGCATTCGATTAGATTTATGTTCATTTCCGGCTAGGGCTACATGCAGCCCTGCACTTGCGGTCAAAATACTAGGGGTTATAGTTTTATAGATATTTTATGGACTTTATGGACTTTTAAAGGATTGTAAAAAAAAAAACCTTCAAAGGGAATTTATCCGAAGATCTTTCAGTTTAAAGATTGATCTTAAAGATTTTTCATCATAGTTTCATGATTATTGACAGATATTTAAGTTTTAAGATCGTTTAAGATCATTTTGTGATTATTCTAGAATTATTTAAGATCGTTCTTTGATGGATGGATCTTTAAGATCGCTGAAGAATCATTGAAATAATGAAATAAACAGATATTAAAGTTTTAAGATCATTTTCAGATAATTCAAAAACCACTTTAGATCGTTTTCTGATAGATAAAGACTATTTAGAGATCGTTGAAGAATCGAAGAACCATTGAAATTATGAAATAGACAAATATTACTATTTTAAGATAGTTTAAGACCATTCTAGAACCGTTTAGGACCGTTCTTTCATGGCTGAAGATTACTTAAAGATTGTTGAAGGATCGAAGAATCATTGAAATGATGAAATAGACAAATATTACAGTTCAAAGATCGTTTAAGATCATTCTAGAACCCTTTAGGACCGTTCTCTGATAGATGAAGATTAGTTAAAGATCGTTGAAGGATCGAAGAATCATTGAAATGATGAAATAGACAGATATTAAAGCTTTAAGATCGTCTAAGATCATTCTAGAACCCTTTAAGATCGATTCCTGATGACTGAAGATTACTGAAAGATCGTTGAAGAATCGAAGAACCACTGAAATGATGAAGTAGACAGATATTTAGGTTTTAAGATCATTTTCAGATAGTTCTAGAACCATTTAAGGTCGTTCCCTGATGGATGAAGATCGTTGAAGTATAAAAGAATCATTCTGAGATCACTGATCGTTTAATAGAACATACTAGGATCGTTAAGGCTCGTTTAACCTATAAGATTGCTAGAAGATCGTTCCAAGCACAAGCAAAGATCACTGAAAGACCATTTGAAGACCTTTCTACAACTTTTCACCCAATTAGCAACCAAAAACATATGCCAAAAATCGAAGCGGAAGGAAAGCCTAATGTATCTCGGATGGGGAAATGTATCTGAAAGGGAAATGTACGAAGCTGGCACATCCGTTTGCTGTTCGTTGCTTCGTTTGAATGAATTTCCTTTCAAATTTGTTTACAAGCCAAAGTTCTTGTATTCTTCTTTTTAATTTTTTCAAGAATTTGCAGAGTATAAATCTCTGCGTTTTTTTTGGACTTGACTTGATTAAAGGCCATTTCCATTTGGTGAACTTAATTAAAATGTCGCGCACATTTCCGGTACCTTGTCCTCTCTCTCCCCGCTCTCTTTGGCTCTCTGATTGGGGCTCAGCGCGTGCCATGCTCGTAAATGGCAAACGAGATTGTCCAGCCCCGCGGAATGAGCTCACAAGTTGAGATTTTTCATTTTTCATTCGACTTCGAAAGTCGTTGAATATTTTATCGATTTTTGAAAATAGCTTTTTATGACAGTGCCAGCAAATACTCTTATTTTTTTAATGAAGGCCATTAAATAATGACTGGGCTTTTATACACCTTTTGGGGGGCAGCCAGGGAAATGGTTTTCTGGTTAGTTTTTCAGTTTTTTGTATGATCTGCCGGGGGAAGACTTTAGGGAATATTAGAGGAATTAGGGGGGCTCCAGGTAAAGCCACTATTGGTACCGAGATTTCTCTTGAATTTGAGTTAAGGTTTAGGTTGGGTTTAAGGCCTCTTTTAACACAACCAATGAGTATTTTTGGTACAGTCACTTCTTAGCAGCTAATACTTTAAAGATTCAGTATCTTTAAACCATTTTCCTTAATATTTTAGAACTTTTCAGTTCAAATACCATTAAAAGTAAAGGTTAACCAAAAAAGTAGAGATTTAACGGCCACAAATTGTGTGCAGGGGTTCAGAAATGGTATATTTTCAAGATATATTACAAGGAAAACTTTTTTTAAACAAATTTCGAGGTATTCTGCAATTTGTGTTCAAGAAATATGTCTTATTTATGATTAATTGATGGTTTCTTTGTCATCAAATTCGGAGTAAAAATATGGATATTTTTTATTAATATTTACACAATATTGTACCATATTGGATAGATCCATATTGCATGAGAGGTCATCTCATTAATGAGAAAATCTTTATATAACAAACCCTAAAGTCAAAACTTGCGGTATTTGCCCTTTGATTCACTATTTCACTATTTCGAGGATGCACTGTCTCCATATTTGTAGGCTTATCGATAGGAAAAGCCTTAATTTTCAGCACAAAAACGGCACTGCCTCCATATTTATAGGTTCATCGATAGCAAAAGCCCACAAAAACGTTGTTTATTTCACTCTTTGGAAGCTGCAAGGTGTACCTACAAGCACCAGTCAAAACATGGTGCACCTACAGCTGCATGTACATGGTGCAAGTACATACATATGTATATGTATATTTTCATTTGAATGGCACAGAACAGAAGCTACTGTGTATTAATTTTCTTCTAGTCTTCTAGTCTATTTTTTGCACATTCTCCCCTCGAAAGCCGTCACTCACGTTGTTCTCTCACTGTATTCTCCGTTTCTCTAGGGGGAGATGTTGTTTTTATATTTTTCGCGTTACGGAGGCGAAAAGAAGACTGTTCCAAATAGCGCTGCGTAGTCCGTTGGACTGAAAACGACTATGTGTGCCCGACATTTGTGCCCAATGCCAATTTCAGTTCCGATTCTCAAATGATCATACGGTTTTTCTCTCTCTCTCTCTCTCTCTCTTGTCTCCTACGCTCTCTCTCTCAGAACAACTCAATTTAGTGAGCCCTCTCCTCTCTCTCTCTCTCTCTCTCTGTCCCTCTCCTCGAGCGCATGTCCATGTGCGTGGTGTGTGTGTGGGCTGCCACTTTTGCCGTTATACTTCCAATGCCTGCACTTTGTTGTACCCAGTACCCAGTAATCGAAGGGTATGATGCATTAGGGATAAGGTATAAAGAAAGATCATGTATGGGACATGTTAAGGATCGCGATAAAAATAAAATTCTGTAGAAGTGTCCTTATTCATATTTCTTTGGAAACTATATATTCACTTTTAACGAAATCTGTATATAATTCTTAACAGTAAAATTCTTACACTAGGATCGGAAAATATCATACATCTATATCTATATCTACATATATCTATCTATATCTCCCATAGAAAAAATATATTTATATAATAATCCATGGAATAATCCATTAAAAATATGTCTTTGAAAGAAAATAATTTTTTCATTACGGAAAAACCAACGAAGCTCTAGAATCTATAGTTTTAAGGGGGCTTTAATGTTAATAAAATCAGGATAAGTAGAAAATTCTATATAGAAATGTCCATATTTATATTTCTTTGGAAATTATTTTAAAATAAAATAAAATGTAAGAAATCTGTACTATATATTTTTTAATAGTTCCTTCCTGTTTCCGTATTCCTCTAAAAACCCTAGGATCGGAGCATATCATACATCTATATTTATCTATCGGTCTATATCTCCCATACAAAACATATATTTTTACATTTTTCAGCCTAAAATAATCAAAAGAGCGTCACTATATCATGTACCTGCCATATGAACAACCCATCAAAAATATGTCTTTGACATATGTCTTTCTTTTAAAAAGAAAAACTAACAAAACTCTGGAATCTGTAGTTTTAAGGGGGCACGACCCCTGAATACTCGCTTCGATGGGATTTTTTTAATATAACAATACCATCCAAATCGTATAAAGATATTATATAGGTTTTCTATGAAAAAATTGCTGAAAAAAGTCCATTCCATTGCCACTTTTCCTCAGGAAAACCCATCATAATTAATCCTAAAAATAAAACATATCGTATAAAGATATTATATAGTTTGATGTTTGATATATGAACAAACTGTCGAAAAAAGTCTATTCCCTTGCCACCTTTTCCTCAGGAAAGCCCTGCCCAAATAGAATTCTTCGTTTTTCCAGGGTAGCCAAAGCTTCGGTCCCTTGGCGGCCACCTTTCCCTTGGATAACATGTTTTACTTTGTTGGTCGTTGCCTTTTGCTTCCCGCATGTATTTTTTTTTCTGTGCCTCTTTTCGCTTTCAACGGTCGCCTTGCCTTAATTTTTCACATATGTATGCCCCGATCTGTGTCTACCCTCGCTGTCTGTCTGCCTCTCTCTCGGACGCTGAATTAAAACAGACACAGTTGCTGGTCTCTCAGTGGTGTGTGCTCCTCATCTGCTGCCAACCCACATCTGGCGGCGCAACGAAAAAATTAAAGAAATTAAAAACAACAAAAACGCACACACTGTGTTCTTACGATTCTGTCCCTGGTTTTATGTGGCCTGCTGTCCGCGCCCTCGGGCCACGCCTCCAGTGAGTCGCGATCGCTAAGGAGAGGGCTGCACTATTGTTGACTCCCAGACGCAGGCGCAGACGCAGGCCCATCCAACATGTGGGCACATCATCATCATCAGCCAAACAACCGACGACCATTCTACCTAAGTTCGTGCCACACATGTGTTGCACAGACATCGCATCCTCCTCGAATGGCAGGAAGGGCGCGACAGCCGAAAATTGATTCTTAATGGAAGCGAAAAACCGACGAAAAACTCACGAAGGGGTTCGATTTTCCAGAAAGCTGACCTTCACCTCCATTGAAGTCCAGCGTCCAGCAAAAACTTTCCTTAGTATATTTCCTGTCCGGCGGCTGGGTTAAAATTCCCCAAAAAAATATTTGCAATCATTTTCGGTGCAAAATAAATAAACAACCCACAATCCATCAGCGATTCGCTTGGGAGGGAGGGAGCTGCACACACACACACGCTTTCCATAGGTTGCACCCTCTGCCATGCCACTGCCACTTGCCGCTGTTTGACGCACTTGGTTAACCCTCGATCGTGGTGTGGAGACCGGCACGGCACGAGTCTGTAATTTCGAATGTTTCGAGTACGTGACAGCGCGAAGGTTGAAGACATCACATCACATCACGAGAAGGTGCGAGACAGACAGCCAGGAGGCAGGCGGGAGGCGGGAGGCGGTAGGGCAAGGCAGCAGATCAAAGTTTATGTGCCGAAAGGTACTGGATCGATAGGGGGGCTCCTAGAGAGAAATCCTAAAGAAAACTCTATGGAATAATCAAATTTCGTAGAGTGAAATCCTAAAGAAAAATCTATGGTATACTCAAATTTCTCATTACAACCTTGAGTATACAGTCTTTAAAGTAAATTTATTGCTAAATAAATATAATCAAAGGCGGAAACAATGAAATTGTACAATTATTACCCCTTCTGATCGCTTGAATCGTACGAAAAATCCTATGTAGATCACGTTCAATCAAAAAAAAGCCAATCTTTCGTTTAAAAATTCAAAGAAATATAGCCAAGTACATTCGAAGCATTATCGATGGGTTCTAATCAAAAAAGTGTATTCTTAGCATTTCCTTTATATAGTATTTGCCCTATAATTTCCCCTTACAATTAGCTAAACAAACTCAAATCCAAATGATCATTCAGAAGTACTTTTACAAACCAAAATGGAACAGATCTCTCAGAGCAGAGATGAGAACTGAGTGACTGCCAGAGGAAACAAAACAGAAGCCCGAGAGTACCAGAACGTGGGGCAACGTGAAGCTCCATAGATATAAGAAAAATATATATACAAAAAATAGTTTGTACATTTTAGAAATGTTTTGTCTATTATGATAAATATGGTTTATAATGTGTTCTAGGAAATGTTGATAAACAGAGATGGTTTCATGGGAAAAAGCACAGCCACAATTCTGATGCTACTGACGTCTCTCCTCTATTCTGTTGTAAAAACAAATAAATAACTTAATAAATTACTGGGCACTGGATGCTTTCAATTTGGGCATAGAACCATAACAGAACGCAGTAGAAATTTATGTATGCGAGCGATAAACGACCCCAATCATGGGGGGAGGCCTTTTTTTTGGCCTTTGGGTGAAAAGTCAAATTGCTGTACCGTTCGTTTCGTTTCGTTTCGGTCAATCAAAAAGTAGACCAAACAAATAATTTGCGCAATTACGCAAAAGGCAAAAAAAAACAACAGGCTCTACATATAGGGGGACGTACGGGTTGTATATATTTTTAAAAACTTACCTCACATGTGCTGCTCTCGTTGTTATTCCAAAAAAGAAAAGCTGTCTTGCCAAATAGTGTCTATTTTTGTTTCACATTTCCACTTAAAACTTCTGCACCTCTTTTTGTAAACAAAAACTGTATGGAATTTCCAATAAATATTAGACACAATTATTGAGTGTTCGATGGTTAGTTTTCATTCGCGTTTTCTGTTCGCTCCGATCTGTAAAAGCACGCAGTCCGATCGCAACTGAAAAAGCTGGCTGGGCGCCTGGCTGCGAAAATAAATCTCTTCAATTAAATGAGGGAACACAAATGAAACGGAATTCATTCCCCATCAACATGGGCTGTACACACAGACCTCTCTTCAATGTATTTTTGCGGCTGCCGCATAAACAAAATACAAAAACTGAACAAAAACACATTGTATAACCCCCCACAAAAGAGAGAGAGAGAGAGAGAGAGAGAGAGAGAGAGAATGGGATCCGAGGGACCAGGGTCGGCCCGGCCTGGTCTTCCCTTGGAAAGTGAAATGTGTAATTGAGTGGCCGTTTGCTCTGCTCTGCTCTGCTCTCTTTTCGTTCTATATTCTTTCAATTGAGTCGAATTGAAAATGGCTCATCCAGCTGTTCGACTGTGCCCCAGTTTGTTGCATAGTTTTGTGCGGCATACGTTAAGAATCATGCATATGATGTGGTGATTATGAGCCGAAGGAGAGCTGAATACAGACAGCTAGCGGCGTTAGAGGTATTTTCAGGTAGCTTTTAATGGAAATATATCATAACTAGACTTGAGAAATACATATTTACTACCCAGTTCCGATTCCTTAAACGAAAATATTGCAAAGACACCTCTTTAAAGACATTTTACAGCCAAGTACTACCCCCTTACTGTAGGCAGGATTGATCACTTGATCACAAACACACAAAAAACGAGGGGGAACGTTGTGAGTTGCTGCGGACACCGCAACTCTACGGTTATACCCGATACTAAGTCAGTATGGCTCTCCTCCGGCAGACGCTGCTAATATTTAACGACACGACAAAGAGTGCGTGCGAGAGAGACAGAAAATCAGTCTGAGCGTGACGTCGGACGCTGCGTAGCCACTGCAAATTGATTTGTTCCTTTTGGCTGTAAAAATGATCTGATCTGATCCAGATTCAGCAATCTAATAGATATGGTCATTATCTATGATTCTGCGTTTTTAGTTTTCTCAAATCTGCAATATTGTGGATGCAACAGATTTTCGTCCTTTGTGGGGGCGGATGGGGGTGGGGCGAAATTCTGAGATATACGTTTTATAGTGACATCTTAAAGGAGTGTGTGTACCAAATTTGGTTACTCTAGCCTTAATAGTCTCTGAGATTTGTGGTTGCCTCAGATTTTCGTCCTTTGCGGGGGCGGAAGGGGGTGTGGCGAAATTTGGACATGAAACGGTCAAGGTCCGATATCACAGGAGTGTGGATACCAAATTTGGTTGCTCTGGCTTTTATAGGTTCTGAGATCCTTGAACTCATATTTTGCAATTGGCAAAACCGACCATGAAACCTGTGTGTTAGAGTGAGACAGAGCGAGAAAGAGTGAAATTGTTTTCGTGATTCTGGCTGTAATAATTATACGATCTGGTTCAGATTTTGCACTCTAGAAGATATAGTCATCTTCTACGATTCTGCGTTTTTAGTTTTCTCGTATCGTCGAAATTGTGGATGCCACAGATTTTCGCCCTTTGTGGGGGCGGAAGTGGGCGGGGCAAAGTTTTGAAATATTTTTGGAGCAGTGACATATCACAGAAGTCTGGATCCAAAACATCGTTACTCTAGCTCTTATAGTCTTTGAGCATTAGGCGCTGAAGGGGACGGACAGACGGACGGACGGACAGACGGACAGACGGACAGACGGACAGACAGACATGGCTCAATCGACTCGGCTATTGATGCTGATCAAGAATATATATACTTTATAGGGTCGGAAACGATTCCTTCTGGACGTTACACACATCCACTTTTACCACAAATCTAATATACCCCAATACTCATTTTGAGTATCGGGTATAAAAATTGAAAATTTCATAGATTTTATTCATTCATTTCATAGTTTAAGCATCAGAACGGACATCTAACAGAAGCTTAAATATCTAGTATCTTTAGAGAAACGATCTTATTTATTATATTATATCCCATTAAAAAAGTTCAAAAGCAAAAAAAAAAGAAGAAAAGTAAAAGAATTGCCTAGATATCGTTTATTAATATCATAGTTTAAGCAACATAACAGGCTTTTAACAGATCCTACAGCATCTTGCTTTACAGAAACGATCCTGTTTATGAAGATCATGCGACCTATTCCCATTAAAAAGGATACCTTCTATCGTGCTTGACCTGCTTGACGATAATTGCTGAATAATGCACCTTTTTTGTTTGAGACATAATTGCTTCAAGTATTCGTTTGATTGTGGGATCTTTTCGTGGCCTTGTCTTATATATAATTCTCTCATTTATGGACTCCATTGAAACCCGCTTAGAGTCAAAAGATCCCCCCTAACTGGCACTTTCTGTGCAATTTTCGATCCTGCTATCATTTTCTATAAAAAATTAGCCGTTTAATTGGTTCCAATTGTACCTAAATTAGTCATAGATGTACCCTTGTTATAGGTGTATACCAGATACTAAAGAAAAACAACATTTTGGTATATTTTTCCATATTTTTGTATAATACACCTCTTATCGATATTATTTAAACAAGATTTATGTTATAGATGTACCCTTCCTATAGGTTTCTACCAATTCCTAAATAAAAACAATATTTTTCTATATTTTTCCACAATTTTTATAATGCCCCCTCTATCGATACCATTTAAACTAGATATCTATCAAAGATCCACCATTAGCATTGGTATTTTCTTAATCCCAAATAAAAACGAGGGGGAACGTTGTGACTTGCTGCGGACACCGCAACTCTACAGTTATACCCGATACTAAGTCAGTATGGCTCTCCTCCTCCTCCAGACGCCGCTAATATTAAACGACACGACAAAGAGTGTGTGCGAGAGAGACAGAAAATCAGTCTGAGCGTGACGTCGGGCGCTGCGTAGCCACTGCAAATTGATTTGTTCCTTTTGGCTATAAAAATGATCTGATCTGATCCAGATTCAGCAATCTAATAGATATGGTCATTATTTATGATTCTGCGTTTTTAGTTTTCTCGAATCTGCAATATTGTGGATGCAACAGATTTTCGTCCTTTGTGGGGGCGGAAGGGGGTGGGGCGAAATTTTGAGATACACGTTTTATAGTGAGATCTAACAGGAGTGCGGATACCAAATTTGGTTACTCCAGCGTTAATAGTCTCTGAGATTTGTGAATATCCCCAGATTTTCGTCCTTTGCGGGGGCGGAAGGGGGTGTATTAGGAGTGTGGATACCAAATTGGGTTGCTCTAGCTTTTATAGTCTCTGAGATCTAGGCGCTAATGTTTTACTCTAAGCAAAGCCGCCTATGCTACGTGTGTGTTAGAGAGAGACAGGGCGAGAAAAAATGAAATTGTTTTCTTGATGCTGGCTATAATAATAATACGATCCAATTCAGATTCTGCAGTCTAAAAGATATAGTCATCTTCTACGATTCTGCGTTTTTGGTTTTCTCGTATCTTTAAAATTGTGGATGCCACAGATTTTCGCCCTTTGTGGGGGCGGAAGTGGGCGGGGCAAAGTTTTGAAATATTTTTGTAGCAGTGACATATCACAGAAGTCTGGATCCGAAACATCGTTGCTCTAGCTCTTATAGTCTTTGAGCATTAGGCGCTGAAGGGGACGGACAGACGGACGGACGGACGGACGGACGGACGGACGGACAGACAGACAGGGCTCAATCGACTCGGCTATTGATGCTGATCAAGAATATATGTATATACTTTATGGGGTCGGAAACGATTCCTTCTGGACGTTGCACACATCCACTTTTATCACAAATCTAATATACCCCAATACTCATTTTGAGTATCGGGTATAACAAGCTTCTAATATATATATCCATAATTTCTGCCATCGTTCCACCATTCCCAAATGCCCTTTTCCATGACAACATTTCGATATAAAGTCTTTGTGTAGCAAAACATTTCTTTCCAGGCACCAGTGCTTTTATATACGCCCATAATTTAACCAAAATTAGTTCCACAGCTCAAAAATTTGTTTCTGATATTAGCTTTCCCTCAAATCCAACTAAAAATTCGTCATATGATGCCAAATCTGGGGACAGCAAGGGCCAAAGAGCAACAATATTTAAGCGTTTCTTTACGGGTTCAGGGGAATGGGATTCATTAGGCGGCACAATACAGCGCTAAGTAAGTTAGCAGTTATTAATTATGATGCCAAATGACAGTAGGTATAACCAGTAGCCAGCAGAAGAAAGCCCCTCTAATGAATGACACGCTGTGCTGTGTGCCCCAAAAGACAATGGCATCGTTTAAAGAAAAAGGGTTGCCAAACAATGGCATCAAAAATCGAAAACAATTAACGATTATTGACTATCAATTGTGGTTTCGAGTTGGAGGCCCGTTTTGTGCCAAATGGCGTTACGCTTGACTGATTAATTGAGGGGCTGGAAGGGGGGGAGTACCACCAAATGAATGGTTAGAATAGTTTCAACAGTTAACAGCCTCGTAAAGCCAGAGACCAACGAGAGACAGCAGCAGCAGCAGTGTATGGTCATAATACTTAAATTTTATGAACTTCTCGGTGGAACCTCCTCCTTCTCCTGCTGCTGGACTCCTGTCTGAGGCTTCCGTATGGGTTTTCAATTTGGCCAAGAACCGAACCAAACCGAACCGAAACGAAACGCCAAAGTTGTTAGCGTTTCGAACATAGAAATAAATATTGGGGGAAAATTGGCTCAAAGCCTCCTTGGGCCACAAGAGGGGCTTCCAGGGGGGTGGGGGGTGTACCGACCGACCGGCTTTTGGAGACACGATCTCTGGGGAGAGATCTCGTGCAGAGCCAGCCAAACAGCATAAAGTTAATTGCTAATATGATTAATTGCACATTAACATGAATTTTTATAGCCAATTATATGCGAAATATGCCAATGAGAAATTTTACTTCTCTTCTCTCTTTTTTTTTTGGAGTACACAACTCTAGATCATCCTGACCATAATTTATGCAAGAACAAAAATCTATGTATCTCAAAGAGAACTGAGTGGGCGGGTTATGCGGGTGTGGATGTTGGAA